CTGATGACATGGATTTCTTGGATAAATCTACAAATCTCAGTCATACTTTTACTGAGTACTGAACGGAGGATAAATGCAATGAATATTTTTCATTCTAGGGACAACCAGACACTCTCTGTAGAGCATTGCCACTTTCCAGTCTATGAACATGGAATACTACTAAAAAACTGCTTGATTTATTTCTCAAGTGATCAAACATTCAAGACGTACTAGTGAGACATAGGCGAATTCAGGCGCTAAACGTTAGGATTACTCACTGTTATGTTTCTAAACATTATACATTATTCGTTCCTAGTTAGAAAGTTGTTTTTGATTGTGGAGTCACAGAAGGTCAATTTTTAGTAACTCAACACAACAAAACAATAGTCAGATTCACCGTATCGCTACGTTGCATATTCACTTGCAATCTCATTCCTCCTATAAGCAAAATTATAAATGTATTATATATAAACTCTTATGTATTCGAGTGTACAGAAACTATTAGAAGTGGAACTGTTGGCGTAAAATACTAATTGTATGTTGCTGTCCATAGAAAACAATGAGTGGTTCTTTATACGGAGACTATTCAGCTTCCAGAATACACATTCAATTAAGCACAAAACTCCTCGGCACCCAATCCTATTCCTCAGCACAATCGACTAGACATTGTCAGAATTCGACTATTGATAATGACTGTTGTGAATATTCTACTTGTTTGTTCATCTCTAATTGTTTGTTTTCTTTGTTTATCTACACTGAAACATGTTTTCTAGGTAATGCAGGTCTATCAGAGCAAGATAAAAAAGATTTGGTATTAATTAAAAAGACTCCAGCATATCAACAAGTCAAAACAAAAGTTTTGGCCATACTAGATGAGAAAATTGACAAATTTGTTCTGGATCAAATACGTAAATAGGCGTAAATTATTCTCAAATGAACTGCAAAATGCATAGATTTGTAATACACTCCTCAACAAATGTTGTTTTACATTGATTTGTTTCTTTATTAAAACGATTTGAAACTTCGAGTTATCTACTGATATCCAAAAGCTGTGATTTGGTTGTAATAGTTCCTTATTCAGGTGATAATTAGAAGTATTCGAATTCATGTACGTACTAATAACTCCCGAAATAGTGCAATTTATGTTGGCAAATGTTCTAGAAATTTGTATATTCGGGCTCGTGATCACCTCTCTGTATGGTTAAGCAAAGATCTAATTAAAACTGTTAACAGCTCCATTTTAGCCCATTTATTACACATCTAATTATGGAGGATTTATGGTGACGTTGTCACAGTGCTAATCAATTAAACACTTAGTGATATCGCTTCCTGTCCATCATATAACTAAGTTAGCCTACACTTACAGTACACATTCAATATTTATGCAACACTTGGGAAGCCTCCAAAATGTTTCTACTCACCATCCACAAACCACTTTTATCAGTACCGGACTATCAGACTAACGAATAGTCAGTTTTTATAGGTGGTTTTTCAAAGTACGAATAACTGGTCACTGTTCAACTGTGAGATCATAAGCAATTAGTTTTAAATTCTATCTCTGAATCGTGATGGTAAAAGTGAATTAAATGAATTTTCTAGATGGTAAGTGAACTTCTGTGACACTTTGTTTGTAATGTGAACTAGTAATAAATCAACCCAACTCAAATGAGACACAACAATATCTGAATGGTACAATATTTGAAGTAGTTATTCACTGCAAATTAACTAAATTGTAGTAAGTCTCAGTATGAGTTATTGTAGCAACAACATCTAGTTGATTGGTTTTCCTCTTAAGTGACGAATAATATTTGGCTCCAAGTTAACAAACATTTATTGATTTTTACTTATATTTTACTTACATTTTATACATCAAAATACGTGACTCGTTGTTATAGAGGTTAGGAATTATGTAACCCATAAAAGACGATGAGACTTGTAGGTCTTTTCCAATACCTGTTCTGTAAGTGAAAAATCGTAGGAGTAATTACATCCCAAGCCTACTACTGCATGTATATAGATTTATAGTAAGATCTAAGTTGAATGATATATTACCGAAGCACATCCATCCATATTTATCTGTGTTAAACTTCAGCTGCCGTTTTGAGCACAACTGGGTTACCTTGTTAAGCTCGATACTGATGCAATTTTGCATATTGTTCAGCTCACGAGAAGAAAATAAATACACTTTCATAAGATTACATGCATATAGAAGAGGCCTACGTATACAAAAGCAATTGCAAATATCATTGATATAAACTGAAAAAAGCAAAGGGATTATAACACTACCTTGTATTACACCACTTTTGACCGGGATAGCATCCGACAATGAAGAGTTGATTTTGACTATCTGATTTCGACAGCTAAGGAAGGAATTTAACCAACCAAGCAGAAGGTTTTTGACTCCGGAAGATGAGACTTACCTATAATAAGCTGGTAATTAACCATGTTACTAGCTTCAGTAATGCTAAAGTATAGCACTAATACTAGATATCCTCAGCTTCGTTGAGTAAAGACTAAATTACTGAAGTCAAAGTGACAGGTCATATAATATCGAGTTTTAAGAAATCCATATTGAGAATCATTGGTATATTTTACAGTCAGTAAATAGTTGAAGAGTTCGTCACCAGTAATTTTTCCGTAATCCTAGAAGTAACTGAAGTAATATTTATGGGCCGATAATTTTTCACGTCAATCCTATATTCAGATCTGTAACGTAGTATAATAATATGCGGTCCTCCAACAATAAAGATAAGCCCCTGTTTCCAGAGAGAAAGAGAGTAAACAGCTTTAGAAGAAGAACTGGAATAACTGGACCACTATATTTGTAGAGAAAAGATGAAATCTCGTCTACTCCATGACCGCTTGAAACATTAAGGGAGTTTATGACCTTACTAATTTTTAGTTAATGTGAAGGAGATAGATTTCATCGGGTTACTGGTCACATACATGACTTTCAAAACAGTGGCATTTAGAAAATCATTATTGTTCACAAAAGTACCACTGAGAAGGTTTGCAATGGTTTTACAGTCATTTAATAAAGTGACACTATACAGGATGCATGGTATATCAACATTTTGAGTTGTTTTAAAGCATTCATTGAAAAGGAGAATGAAGTTTCGTACTTTTTAGCCATTATTAAGTGCTCGAAACTCCTCATCAATGGCTTTCAACTTTTGCTTCTCTTTAATTTGATTACAAATTATTATTTGTGCAACTGCCATGAAATCGTTTGACTTGAAATAACGTTTCTTTAGGCATCTTAATTTATTACGATATTTAACTGGTATAATTTATTCGTTAGGTTTATTGAGCCTGTACGTTTTAAGAGGTGCGTTTGGATCAAGACAAGAGTTAGTGATCAGATAGAATGTGTTAATGACATCTACGAGATTATTACTTAAGAAAAAGGTATCCCAAAGATTGCAGGAGGTCCCAGTCAGCGTGCCTATAGCCTTTTATGTGGGGTTGCTTATAAGAGGAACAAATAGGAAGTGCACTAACCACTATTTTATGGTCATTGCTTTCAAATTCATTTTATACTTTTGTAGATTTTATGATATCTCCATAAAATATTCAATCAAGTACATTATCACGCCTTGTTGGGGTACGGACCCACTGTGACCAATAGTGACGTTAACTTTTGATGAGAATTCATCATTAAATGGATGACAACTACCGATATTCTAGTTTATTCCAGGTTAACTGAAATCTCCTGTAATTACCTTAGCATTGAAGTTTAGAGCAGATGGATGCATCAATTCATTCATAATAAGATCATTCACATTATCCGAACTATCAGGAGTTCTGTATATCCATCACAGCAGTAGACTATGATTCATGGTGTTTGTCTATTAAAGCTAAGGTTCTTAAGGCCGAAATTTTACTTAGAAGTGAACGTGCATTAATAAATAATAAGTTTAAAAAGAAAGTATAGAGAGTAAAAAACCTAGAACGTCTTTACCAATGTTCCATATTTTAGAGTTGACTGGACTATGATTTAGTATGGATGACTGATCATATGGGCTATAACATGAACAAACTGTGCTTCTAGAGGTACCAAGGGTTTCTGGAGGCCAAGAAAATAATTATTTTGGTGAGGTGGACTTATCTTCTGAAATTGACTTGACAGACAGCTGGAAAAGTCACTTGCTCGTTGGGGTTGATTTAGTGGTGCGTAACCTAATAGTTCATCTTGTCTATCGAGGAACTGATAATAAAAGTTATATCTTGCAGATTCAGTTCATAAAACTTTTGAAGCAACCGTTGGTTTTTTGCAGTTTGTCGAAGATTAGGCCTGCTTACACGAAGGTCATGGTGGCTGTTCTGTGCGTCATCTGATTTAAAAAGTGGGGTTTTGACAAGCCACCAATTGTTCTTAGGTTAAACTGGGATGATGAAATGGCGGATCGACCAGTTCTTGTCTGTGTGTCCATATAATTACCCGTACGATCCTTCGGGTCAAACCTGGTGTCAAGGTGCATATGTAGTTGCGTGCTTCGTTAAACGATCGTCTCGATAACCGTTATTATGTCAATCTGAACGGTGTATAATATGAGAAGACAAAGGGAAGCGGTAACTACATTTTTATTGACAAGTAACGTAGGCTAGAAGGCAGTGAGCACATTAGCAAATGTTAGCGAGCGAAGTAAAAATGACATACATGGGAGATGACTGGTAAGCCAACTCGCTATAAGCAAGCATTTATCAATATTTATACTCAGACAAAATTGAATGACAGACATGTGATAGGTAGGATAAAAAGTGTGCATACACATACGCTCATATAAAAAAATAGTCAAGGTCAATAAGCGAATAATTAACATGATCAAAATATGACTCATAACGTTATAGGTGAATTGGCTTGTCCAGAAACTAGAATAAGCTATTTAGATGTAATATAGTACACAACGTTACACTACTCCCCACACATATTTTGTTTGTTTGAGCTTTTGCAATATTTTTGGTACTAGTTTTGAGACCAAACTCTACTTTATATACTTCTGTCTCAAATGGTGTAGACGTTTTAATTTTAACAGTGTTTTGAAGAGCTTTCACGTTAGAAATAGGTATTTGGGTATGCGCTTCTAATGATAAATCGGGGGATATCAAGCAGATAAATGTTAAATATAGAATAAAACACATGCCTATATTATAATAATTTTCAAACGGTAATAAAATTTTAATATTTTAATAAAAAATAAACAAACAAACAATTATTGACATGAGATATGAATTATTAGTTTATTATTATTAGTTTAATTGCCCCCCTAAATAGGTTTATTGATTTTTACGAAATTGTTCCAGAACAAATTTATCAATTCTATCTGATAATGAATCTATAACTTTTTCTTTGGCTTTTTGAAATTCTTTTGTTGCTTTTATTTCTTCAAATTTTTGTAATTCTTCTTCAGAAAGACCTGGATTATGTAGAAAACATAATTTATCATATAAACAGCAATTAAACAGATTAGTTAAATAAAAAAACAACCTATAACAATTATTGTTCACATTCAGATTTTAAGTGCGCTACTCGACTATGTGTCTAGTCTAGTGTCAGGAGTGGGATTCGAACCCACGCCCAAAGAGTGCACTGCGACCTGAACGCAGCGCTTCGGACAGCTCGGCGAGGCCTCATGATGTGCGCACTTGACTATATGTAGATGCTAAACGTATATTGACTTTTTTAGATATACAAAATAAGTTAGTTAAACAATAATACGTTTCGGTGTACGATATTCATGATCACGCTAATCAAGCGACATTTCAGTAAATGACAAGATTTGGAGAAAATAACGTGGATCATAGGACCAGATTCCATTGGGATTAGATAAATATTGGTGATTAGCGATTTAGAAGGACTAATCAAAATTGAAATATTTCAACCAAAATTAACTTCTAGCACTATGTGTTGATATTTACCAAGTGGAAAAAACAACTGACAACAGTGGAACTACCATTCTTATGTCAATAGCTTTACGTTCAACTAATAACCATAAAACGTTTCCTCACAAATTCTTGATTAATCAATGTCAAGATACGGAATTTTCAACACAATAACCAATTCACGATCACACAATTATTCATTGCATCACATTGTCTCTTCATATTATCAGAAACAGATGATTCATTTTACATGTTTATTTGTAGAAACAAGTTATCAAGTCGAAGTGAACGAATCCAAATTAATGATGAACAACGATAGTCGATTCACAGTTGCTTGATGAACATATATTCGAAACAATTCATCGAAATCTTAAAGATTAGTTGGAGAAAGCTTATTTTTCATTCAACATCAAAAGACATGCTGAATCCAGAGTGTCTGACATATCAGTAACTCATGTTTGTACTACGGAGTTGGTGTGATTGTGACAAATCATAGTGGCGAAACACTGAAAAATGTTATGCATAGTTGTTCATCACTACACTGTACATTGTGACTGAACTACAATACAGGTATTTGAGATACTATTACAGTCAATGTATAGGGGAGCATGCATATCTTATACTTATCGTGTTCGCTATGGAATGAGTGTTAGTGAGATTTGAAATGATCTGAGAAATTAACATATCATTATGATGTATAGGTTTATGTAAAGTTTATTTGCTTGTGATTCAATAGTCGACAGATAAATTTATCTTAACAGTTGAATTCATGAGTCGATCTAAACTAGACCACCATTGAAAACCTGAAAGTACTCGATGTCCGTTTCGTGCTAGTGTAGGTCTCCTCAGCAGTACTATTCCATGATCCCGCACACGGGACTTGAACCCAGGTTCTCCGATTTCGTGCACGAATGCTTAACCCATAGACTACTGAGCTGCCTGGCATCCTGTGGCATTAATGTCTAACTTCAATCTGTCATCCAAGGGTTCCAGGCTTTTAATGGTGGTCTAGCTTACATCAACTCATGAATTCAATCATTACAATTATTACAATCTCCACAAATCTCTAATCAGACAAATTTGTCACAAATTCTTGATTAATCAATGTCAAGATACGGAATTTTCAACACAATAACCAATTCACGATCACACAATTATTCATTGCATCACATTGTCTCTTCATATTATCAGAAACAGATGATTCATTTTACATGTTTATTTGTAGAAACAAGTTATCAAGTCGAAGTGAACGAATCCAAATTAATGATGAACAACGATAGTCGATTCACAGTTGCTTGATGAACATATATTCGAAACAATTCATCGAAATCTTAAAGATTAGTTGGAGAAAGCTTATTTTTCATTCAACATCAAAAGACATGCTGAATCCAGAGTGTCTGACATATCAGTAACTCATGTTTGTACTACGGAGTTGATGTGATTGTGACAAATCATAGTGGCGAAACACTGAAAAATGTTATGCATAGTTGTTCATCACTACACTGTGCATTATCACTGACTACGATTCCCTAACTTAGTAATCAATTAGATGAGTGTTAGTATGCACAATAACAAGTGGATTCCATAGGAAATGTTTCCTACTATCGAAGTATCGAGTATGATGATAGTAATTTGTAATTAGAGTACCAGCAAGACACTTTTCCGTCCTTAACCCCTCCTTTTTCAACATGATTAATAGAAATAGAATTATTTTTAACTCACCGTGGTGGCCTTGAGATGAAATCGCATCCAGGGTTATCAGGAAAATGACGAACAGATATTGCATCTAAAATGAAATGTGAATAGGGATAGGTTCTGTGAGAAATGTGGCAACAAGATGAATTGTAATGGTGATGGATGGTGTAGTAATTTGTATGTCTCCACAGTGAGACATTTTTTTATGATGATGAAGTAACTTCGGGTGACAAGTGAATCAAATGGAAAATCTAAAGGCAGCATTTACAAGTATGAGAAGAAGAAGAAGATTGTAAAGAAGTACATTCAAATCGTGTCAGTTATCAAGTTAGTTCCTCATTTCTACATACACATCGCTAAATGTGGACTTACATGCATTGTGTTTGTTGACTGGAATCGTGTTCTGTTACGACGTGAAATTCTTTCACCTTATATAGTTTGAGTGATCCATTGTTAACACTTTCTCCATGTTTGTTGTTCAATGTCAATGAAATGTCATGAATCATTCTACTGAAATATTAAACTTTCTACTTTCAGTATTTTGTGAGATCAACATTATACTTAACTGTCATTTCATTTGTTTTATTGTCAAACCTGAAAATACTTGTCACAGTTAATGTTCTTCGATTTTTATATTTTGAATAATAAAACATATAGTAATAGGTGGACCTTAAAACTGAATAATAGTTCTTTTGTGAACTTTTGACTGACATGATATTCAATTGACGTTAATTAGGTTTCACACGACACATAGAAGTATGTTTGCATTTAAATTTATTCAGTTCCGGTTAATTTTCAAATAATAAGCCTAAATTATTATTACAATAACGAAATTACTAAATAAACCACTCTGTGGTTTTATCACCATAAAGTTATAGTTTCTGATTATCATGACGGCGTTACGTTTATTCTACCAAAATTTATACTATTTAATATGTTGTCACCATAATCCTTTTAATTGTCTTCTCATCAATTTAAGTATTGAGCTCCACAATAATTGTCCAAATATGCAGTTTCATTGACGAGTGAAATATTAGTTGTGGTACAAAGTTGTTTAGATCAGTGACGTAATTTTAGGGATGTTTAATTATTAATATTAGATTACAGTTTTTATTAAGTCATTGTATGATGATAAAATACTTCGGTCATTATTAGAAAGTCTTAGTATTTCATGACTATACTATTTGTATTATCTTCACAGAAAATGTAAACTTTTATGATTTCCAAAGACTGTATTGAATCATTAAATATGAAAAATATATTTGTAAACTCTCAGCGAATGAATTTGAAGTAAATCCAACGTTTCACTTGTATTGAATCATGTCATTGTTCGAGACTGTTATATCAGTCATTAAGTTGTAATCACTCCCGTCCAAACAGAAAAGCATTAAAACGTTATTTACTTAATAAAATTGATACATTAAATAAGGACTTGACGGAGATAGAAATAAATATTGCTCGCAGAAAATTTGCAGTTGATGAATTAACTGAAGACCGTAAGTCCCAGTTTATGGATTACGTTACAAAAATAACTAAGGTAAGATCAGACAAGAAACACATCCAACTTCTCAAAAGCCTGGAAAGTCAACCTGTAGAAAATAAATTTCCGACTGAATTAAAGAGGCATGTACATAATTTTTCCGGTACTGAATTAAATAAAGAAAAACTTGAAGTATTACCACTAGGTCTGAAATTCTGTGATACACAAAACCGCGTAAATCTTATGGATACGGATATTCGATTTGAAAACCTAAATCATCAGACATCGGATCTAGTCCCACATCTGATCAGGAAATTGAATGTTTCAAATCAAACCTAGTTGACTGCTGCATTCAGTTTAAGAATAGTAGATATAACTACAAAAGCAATTTTTACTAAAAAAACACAAGTTTACCAATGAACCCATTAATGACGAGAATCTGACTATCACAAAACCTGATAAAGTAACAGGAACTGTCCTACTTAACAAAATAGACCACATTGACAGGATGAATAACATCTTGAATGATAACTAAAAATTTCAGAAATTTAATAACCAAAAAGATGTCAATGATAAGATGGAGAATGAACTAACCATATCTTTTGGAAAAGCTCAGAGATCAACAAATGGTTCCACCAATTATATATGAAACAATTAAGCCTATAGGTACCCATTTACCTAGGTTATACGACTGCCAAAGGTACATAAACCAGATATCTCATTGAGACCTATTTTGGACAAGTACGGTTTCGCATATCATACTGTAGCAAAGTGGTTTTGAAACCATTCCACAAACACTTATTAAAGCATAGTATTAGGGATGCATCCCAGTTCGTCTATAAAATTAAAAAAAAAATAACATGAAAGGTCAAACGATGATGCCCTTTGACGTAACGTCATTGTTCGCAAATTTCCCACCCAGAGAGACTGTAAAAAATATTTGTGAACAACGTGGAGAACAAGAAATAGAAACTAGAATCCCTGTGGAGATCATCAAAGAACTATTACCAAAAGGTACTATAGATGTACTTTTCAAATTCAATGGTAAAATCTACAGACAAATAGATGATGTGGCGATGGGTTCACTCCTAAGTCCCATATTAGCTGATATTTTCCTCTCTAAACTAGGAGACGGCCCACTGGCACAACAGATTAACAGGTTTTCATTTTACTGTCAATACATGGACGATACGCTTATCCTTTATAACTACCATACTGACTTGATAGAAACACTTGAGCGGTTCACTCGTTCAAAAAATTCATATGTGAGGAAGAAAATGGAGGTAGAATAGCCCTTCTAGATGTCCTACTTACAAGGAGAAAAGACCAGGCATTAGGAGGAAACATAAGCAAGAAAACTCATTGGACGGGCCAACATACACATTTTCCTAGTTTTGTTCCTCTACAATGTGAAAGAAACCTGATTAAGACACTGCATCATAGAATCAAGAGCAACAAAACCAGTCAGTTCACCGGAGATTTTATCCAAAGAAACCTGCAATTATTATTCTTTTGGGCATATTTCCTAGAAATTTTCCGATGTTCATAATTTGTGTAACCTATTTTCAATCTTAATCCTCCTATCTCATACACACGAACAAATACAGATGAAGACAACAAATGTAGCAGCACGCTCTGCATCAATAGGCCTCAACATACACGAAGGAAAAAGCAAGATTATCAAATACAACACGGAGAACACCAACCCAATCACACTTGATGACGAAACTCTGGAACATGTAGAAACGTTCACGTAGCTAGGACGCGTCATTGATGAACACGGAGGATTTGATGCAGATGTAAAAGCGAGGATTGACAAAGCAAGGACTGCATTTCTACAATTGAAGAACTCAAAACAACTGTCAACTAATTTCAAAGTCAGAATCTCCGATACGAACGTCAAGACAGTCCTAGTGTACGGAGCTGAAACGTGGAGAACTACTACATCCATCGTGAAGAAGGTACAAGTATTTCTAAACAGTTGTCTACGCAAAATACTCAACATTCACTGACCGGATACAATCAGTAACAGCGTTTTATGGGAGAGGACAAACCAGCTTCCAGCTGAAGAGGAAATTACGAGAAGACGTTTGAAATGGATTGGACATACACTGAGGAAATCACCAAACTGCATCACGAGGCAAATGTGTAAGATACTGTAAAGACTGACTAAATTGAAGACTCTTCCAAGTAGACTGTAACCAGGAAGGAGATAGGAGTGATCTGAAGCTGTAAATCTTATATGTTTATCGCAACAAGTGTATTGGAAAACCATCCAAACAACTCCGAAAAATGTTTATCATGTCATTCCGTACTACCAGAATGAACTATATTATCCTCTTCTTAAGACGTTATTTTTTTAAATTTAATAGTAACCTGATTCATATCAGTCTGAATTACTGAATGTGAGGTAGTCAATCTGAAGTGTGAAGATCTGTGCCCATACATTCCGAACAGAGCACCAAAACCAGTCAGTTCACCGGAGATTTTATCCAAAGAAACCTGCAGTTATCATTCTTTTGGGTATATTTTCTAGATATTTTCCAATTTTCGTAATTTGTGTACCTTACTTTCGATCTCTTCATCGATAGAACTATGATGAGAAAAACCAGTATTAGAAATTATGTAGTAACTGTACAATATTTTAGTTGTTTTGCCATCTGCTTGTAACGTTGTAACAGTGAAGTGGCTGACCTAGAGAACCCAACTGGAACTTATATCCCCTATCAACCACATTATCTAGCTTCTTTTTATTAACCTGATTCAGTTCACATCAGATAAATCTACATTTCAAAAATTATGAGTTTCCTATCTTCTTAGATGTATATGTTAAACACCCAAACTATCAATGACATTTAGTCAAAAAGTAATGAGATTGTTCAGTTTGGAACTTTCAAATAAGTTGGTAAACAGATGGATGTGAATAGCCAATAGTCTACCAGACATTGACTGATAAACAGAAGGATAAGATGCATGAGTAAGAAGGAAATATCAATAAAACTTTCTTCGTTTTTAGAGGAAATGTATATGTCCTAATAATGGGGATTGTATGGTAAGATCAATAACTAACGGTCAACCATATTTCGCCCTCTAAATGCTAAATGTAGCTTGGATACTAGACTCTCTTAATGTACTAACTAGTGGTCGAGGAGAAGTAGTTGAGTGCGTTGATTACTTTCCGTGTGTTCGAAGTCCCATCAGCCTTGGTAGGTTGATATCTGATGGAACCTTTGAACAGATTAGAAAACTCCTCCAGATCCTCACCGAATTGCATCACTTGTGATGTAAACGAGACGTACGTTTGTCAACCAAAGGGTGAGTATACTGGAAAACAGTTCTCTCTGTAGCACGTTATAAATGTGATACATGGTCTTTGAAAGTACTATACATGTGTAAGGTACAGGTTTTTGATTTAAGATATCTTCGAGACATTGCTCGCTTTTCGTGGAACAACCGAGTGAATAATGCTGTGGTTAGCAATAGGGTACTAGTCAAAGGTGCTAAATCCGTCGATGATATGGTGGATCCTCATGAACTGAAATGCTCGAGGCATACATTACGCTCTCCTAATCTTCGTCTACCTCGAAGTACAACTTCAACTAGTGAAAAAGCAGGTTGGAAGAAAGTTAGGGATGGTTAAACTAGGACGTAGCATCAGCCCGTGAAGTCACTAACTGTTGATCTGAGGTATGTTTGAAGATGCAGGCTATATGGTTGAGGTTTGAGTAATAACGAAGATTGGTGATCGGAGTGATTGAGTGACATTTCTCAGAATTGTTCGCAGTGGTACAGATGGATCCACTTTCTATCTTACTCTAGATCTCGACTCCCAGTATTCTTTCACACGTACATTTTCATTTAGTATTTTTAAACTTTGAAATTTTTTTTATCGTTTTACACAATCTCTAAATTTTCTTTAGACTTTAAATCCAATATTAATTTTTATATGCCGATTTGGAATAATATTTTGGTTGGAGTGGGATGAGAGATTCAGACACTAAGTAGTGATGCTGAATAATGATTGTAAAGTCAGAGATAGATGTGTAGGTTTTGCACTGTCGTTTGAAGTACTCATGTTATCAGAACGTGTAAAATAATTTAATCATATTCATC